CAGGTTTAATCCACCATTTTCCACATAAGGAAATGTCTGTACCAAGTCAGGAATAAGACAGCTGTTTTCCATTCGTTTGATGTGTTTGAGTTTTTAATTTTGCCATTTGATAAAGGATTTTCCGATTTGAATTTTCCTTGGAGTTCGGTAATTTTGTTATTTTACTTTTTTCCTTTATTCGTATTAATCATTATACATTTTATACATTTTCGACCGAAATCATTTTTGATAATGAAAAATAACACTTTATAAATTGATTTTTTCGAAGACTTTTTTAAGGATTTACTTTTATCAAGAACGTCAGCAGCCAAAACTATAAAAGCCAAGGGTGTTTAAGTACCGGAACACGTGGTATTGTTGTTATTTTCAATGCCAACAGTGAGCATCCTTAAATCAGCAATCAAAGCCGGGCTTCAAAGTTATTGTGAAACTGCCTATTCGAGAGGTGTCGTGAATCAGATGTGGATACTAAAAAATTCAAAAGATCTTTTAGAGTACATACAATCTAAGACTCTCTCATCTTGCAATAGTATTAAACATTTGACTTTTCTACACTTTACACAAGTATCCCCCATTCCAAATTAAAAGACAAATTAAAAGAGTTAGTATTGCTTTCTTTCATAAAAAAGAATGGCGAACGTAGATACAAGTATCTTGCCTCGGGGAGGGATAAATCCTACTTTGTAAAGAATCACTCTGATTCAAACAAAAAATTCTCTGAAACTGACATTATCAAGATGCTTGATTTCTTGATTGACAACATATTTGTTACGTTTGTAGGACGTGTTTTTAAACAGACTGTCGGCATTCCAATGGGAACCAATTGTGCCCCTCTTCTTGCCGACTTGTTTCTTTATCATTATGAGACTGACTTCATACAGGAACTTCTTAGGAGGAAAGATTAGAAGTTAGCAATATCCTTTAACTTTACTTTCCGCTATATAAATGATGTTCTCTCACTAAAAAATTCAAAATTTGGTGACTATGTGAACGCATCTATCCCATCGAACTAGAGATAAAGAATACAACAGATACAGTTAAGTCTGCCTCATATCTTGACTTACATCTAGAAATTGACAATGAAGGTCGGTTGAAAACAAAACTTTACGACAAAAGAGATGATTTCAGCTTCCCGATTGTGAACTTTCCATTTCTATGTAGCAACATTCCAGCAGCGCCTGCATACGGAGTATTATATATCTCCCAATTGATACGATATTCCCGGGCTTGTATTCCTATCATGATTTCCTTGATAGAGGATTGGTGCTCACAAGGAAGCTATGAAACCAATAGTTCCAAATGGTGAAGTTGAAATCATCCCTTCGTAAATTTTACGGACGCCATCACGAGTTGGTTGACCGTTATGGAATAACCGTTTCACAGATGATATCGGATATGTTCCTTATGTCGTTATTACAATCCACTTCATTTTTCACCACGAATGTGACCTACCGAATTAGACTATTTACCGGATTTGTAATAACATGAGCAACACGACGGGTGCCACATGTGGAGCAGGATCTGCTTACCCTTCCGGAGCACCTGAGATCACCCCCAGTTTTTGGTGGGGTTCGTGTTGCTTAGTCTTTAGTTTTCTATGTTGTGTCTTGTGTATTATTATTTGTCTGTTTGTCTTTTTATTTTTAAGCCATGGCGTTGTCAGTTTATTTTCGATCTATGAGTTTGACTGTCCCTCTGAAATCTTTCGCCTCTTTATTAAAATCAGTAATGTACATGTAACATGATTAACATCCGTTATGTCTTTATATATACATAATGTGTGTTCAGCCTTGTATCACCATCACTGGTGACCCGATGGATGTAGTAGAGTTAACGTTGTCACTGGTTCAGACGTACTTATAATATAATTATTTTTTGTGACTGCATCCTACATTAATTTGTAATATTCCATCTCCATGCCTTATATATCATGTACTGTGTTACGACGCTAGATAAAAACTGACGAGGAAAGGCAACACCCGGCCACCGAAAGCTTGATTTTTTTTTATTTGAGCCTAGGTGGTCAAGTGGTCTAGTGCGCCGGTACAGTGCAAGACGATTTGGTGCCACGATATCTCAGTAGCATGAGTTCGAATCCCGGCGAGCGAAGAACAAAAATTTGCTTCAGCAAATTTACAGATCTAACATTGTTGGGTTGTTATTTAGACGAATTATATATACGGAATGTGTTTTCAGCCTTGTATCACCATCACTGGTGATCCGATGGATAAAATCTGTCACAGAGTTGTTACTGGTTTAGACGTACTTATAATATAATTATTTCTGTGACTGCATCCTACTTTGATTTGTAAGATCCTCTACGATAGATAATTCAGCTGATCTGTAATATTCCATACTAGATATCATGTACTGTGTTACGACACTAGATAAAAACTAACGAGGAAAGGTAACACCCGGCCACCAAAAGCTTGAATTTTGTCAAGCCTAGGTGGTCGAGTGGTCTGGCGCGCCGAGCATAGTTCAAGGCGATTTGGTGCCACGAATCCCGGCTAGGAAAGAACAGGAATTTGCAAATTTACAGATCTAACATTGTTGGGCTGTTATTTAGACGAATTATATATACAGAATGTGTTTTCAGCCTTGTATCACCATCACTGGTGATCCGATGGATAAAATCTGTCGTAGAGTTATCACTGGTTCAGACGTTCTTATTATATATATATATATTTCTCTAATTCTTCGTCAATTTATCCCTTTCTGCACCCATTGTATAAAAAATATTTAATCAACGTGTGGTTCGTTTGATCTCAGTTCTTCATTGGTTAAAATCCGATTATGACGTCGAATTTTCTTGCTTTCCTCTGAATTTTCTATTGTGACGGCATGAAAAAAGGCGACCATGCCTGATGACGTCACATAGAAAGAACACATCTTTTTGCAGATCATTCAAAAAGAAGGAATAAGTTTGCCTGCATATTGTTTGAAAATCATTAGAGAAACAGATTCCACCACCAAATCTCGTGTAATACGATATTTATCCACTCTCGACAGTTAAATTTTAATTATTTCAAACGCTCGGCGAGCCTCGCGTTTTAAATTTGAAAATTTAACTGTCTCGAGTGGATAAATATCGTATCACACTCGATGCAGTGGTAGAATCTATATATATATATACACGTATAAAAATTGCGGTTTTTATCCAACGCAATCATAGGTTTGAACGTTGTTTTCAAATTAGACTCGTTTATATTTTTTCGTTTGGGCTTGTATTATATTTTCCTTCGGGTTTATATGATCCGTTCATCCTATTTCGACTCTTTAAAATTCCAGAGTATATCCTTAATTGAGGTAAATTATATGGCCTTCCAAATACCGTTTCCATCCCTAACATCACTGAAGAGACATTAATTGTCGAAATCCGGACATGGTGTACAAATTTTTGCACCTCATGTTTGCGGTATACCATCTTTTCCGCAAGTTTATTATTTTCTGTTTGGTATTAAATTAATAATAAAGATCCATTTTGTTACATCTTGTGATCCGTTTATTTGGCAATCGCCAATGGCAGTCAGCAGTGTTTAAGAACATCCGTTGTTCGACCTGTTAGTCAAATGCGTTTTGTTAAAACATACTTTTTCACTTTTTTGGTCTTTTGGAAAATGTTGTTTGTCCTGTATTTAGACCCCTCTACCAAGAAATTTGTTTTGCATGCACACGTATAAAAACCAACAGAACATAGATGCTCATTTCTTATCAGTCATCTACAATATTTTGATCATACGACAATTTCCTGCTGTGAGGACAAATTATCAAAGTTTGACTAAATGATTTATCAATAAGTTGTATTAATTGGGTAATGTTTTGGCTATTTGTCTGATGAAACAAAGAATATGGCGTTTGTTCTGTAACTTTATGAATAAAATGTGATGTTATATATACGTCAATGCACGGAAGTTATATTCTCAATACAATACTTCCATGGTAAATGAGACAGCAAACGAACAACACAAAACATATTAAAGACATCTAGCATACAATTAGTATATATTCAATTTGAAAGGATGATTTGATTACAAAAAAATAACAGTTTTACAAAAAAAGTATACACGAAGGCCGTACGGTTGCCTACAATTGCTTACATCCACTTTATTTGAACTTTGGTGGATAGTTGTCTCATTGGCAATCATACCTCATCTCCTTTTTGTTATAGTGTTTAAATCAAGCAAATGCCGATTTACGAATCATTGATTCCGTCATACGTTGCAGATGAATGAAAAAAACCTAGTTATATATCATGATAATAAATAATAATAAATTTTATTTTATTATTGTGTCACATACTGATTGAACATTATACAATGACATAATAAAAATATACATTAAAATAATCAGTACCCAGCCATAAGATTGGCTTATGAGACACATCATGACTATCAGTTGTTATTAGTGGATTGTGTATTCTCAATTAAACAAAATATTGATTAACTGAAAGAACGTTTTTCCTGCGTCGCCAACGGCAAATGGAGGTCTAGTAACCGCTCCTCTATGTCTGTCCGTCCGTCCGTTTGGGGTTGAAAAGTTTTCATGGCTTCTATGGAATCGAATGATTAAATATTTGTCTGCAGCTTGCTAATGACGAGTTCCACTGTGTAAGTATTTTTTTCATCTGCCGTGCAGCCACTTCCTTATTGCCGATAGTTTGGAATTTTACAACACTCATTGTACAAGGAAATTTGTCGTCAATTACGAATCATATTTCGTCATATGTGCAATTTTAGAACAATGATACATCTAACGGCCTAACATTGTCTTAAATGAATGCACACATGAAAAAAGAAATGTTTTGAACAATCCTGTTAAAATTTAGTATAAAAAATACTACAGTACAAAAGTCATAGGACAAAAAATTAACAACAAGAAAGAAGTATCTGCTAATCGTCAATGATAAAACAACCCAACAATGCATTACACTTCCAAACAGAGACCTTGTCCTTACTTCTGTGTGCACTGTAGTTTAAATTATCAAGAGGTACCAAGTGTCATTGTAAATCCTAAAACAACAATCAAATAGAGAATGGTAAACACGAAAAAACAAAACTTGTCAAAAAATTCAGCAAGGTCTTTGTTGGTATTTCTATCATCTTCAAAAGGCCGAACCGTGTCTTTATCGCTCCATGTAGACTTGCCACCTTGTTTAGTGTTGACTTTTCTTGATACCTTGTCGTCAGACAATTCTACTGTAGCAGTTTTGCATTTAAGTATTCTACATTTGTTTACAAATCCATGGACCCATCGAGGCATGGCATCACTATCAGGTTTATGATAAAGTCTTATAATTAGTACTGTCAATACGATGACAAACGAAGCTAGACCAAGTGTAACGGTTAGGAATATAACTGAAAAATATTTGACAATGAGTTAAATATATGTACAATATGCATGGACGATAACATTTTTCTAAACTAAAAGACAAACAAGTATTTTAGTTTAATGCTTTTTGTTCATCGAAAATTTCACGTCGTTACAATCCTTGAATGGTGTAAATTACCGCTAAATTACCCACTTAAAACATACACCAGTACACCATTCACCATACTCAATTACACCACACACCACTCCCTATGCACCAACACAATTCCCCTTTCCCATTTGAAATATACACATTTCGCAACCATGCACGTTTATTAGAAATTTTAAACCATCCAAGGGCTGAATATATAACTGAAGACATAAAGTTATCTTGCGAGTTATACCGTGTTACACTGTAAAATTGATACAGTTTAAAAGATGTAAAACATAATTATTTTATTTTACCTTTTCGATGCACACAGATAGGTAAAAAGGGCTTTCAATTCAGATTTACACATGATGTATGATAAATTACAAAACAAAGTCTAAAGTTTTTTTCTACAACACTTACACACGCAGTTTGAAAATATAGTTCCATTGCAGACTTATTCATATATAAATTCATATACATGTAAAATACCCAACAATTTTGTGATTTGTAATTGCTCACTTACTATATAAATGAATAATGTAATACGTGTACTTCAAACTTGATTCAATATCCTTCTACATGTATATCTTAGCATACTAAAAAATCTTCAAAGACAAACAATAGATATAGGAAGATGTGGTATGAATGCCAATGAGACAACTCTCCATCCAAGTCACAATTTGTAGAAGTAAACCATTATAGGTCAAAGTACGGCCTTCAACATGGAGCCTTGGCTCACACCGAAAAGCAAGCTATAAAGGGCCCCAAAAATTACTAGTGTAAAACCATTCAAACAGGAATACCAACGGTCTAATCTATATAAAAAACAAAACGAGAAACCAGAAACACTTATGAACTACATCAACAAACGACAACCACTGAACATCAGGTTCCTGACTTAGGAAAGGTGCAAACAAATGCAGCGAGTTTAAACGTTTTAATAGGCGCCAACCTTCACCCTACCTGAAACAATAGTGTAACATCACAACATAGAAAGACACGCTATAAAATATCAATTAAAATGGTTTAACTCCAGGGGCGGATCCAGAACCTCTATGACTGGGGGGGCACCATGAAAAAAATTTAAAGAGTTGTACAGATATGTATATATGTTAATTGAAATAAGAGGCATATAAGCATGTGTACAATAGAGTATGTCTAATAAAGTTAATCTACAAGAATGTCTGGTAGCACTATTCTCCTAGGATTTCTCCTTGCATACTGCATCACCACCTCCTTTGGATTTACAGTAATGTTCCTATGGGCATACATCATGATTAAGGAAGATAACCTGCTTGTTGACATTGTTGATCGTAAGTATGTCTTCACAAGTCTCAGTCTACTGATACTTCTCTCACACTCACAGGATGTTACTGGAAATATTCCACACATTTTCAAAATTTGGTGCACATTTGGAAATATAATAGAGTTACAGTTTTGTAAAGCTGTGTTTATATCTGAAGGTGGATCAGACTCTTTTGCCCATTTCAACTTCCACATATGCATTTCTTGCTCCAGTGTTGATGGAGATGGTAAATCATCCACAAAGTACTCAAAATCATTAGTTGAGGATTGAGAAATCATGGCAGGTATTACCTGAAGCCCCATGGATGCCTTGATTTGCAGGTCACCAAACCTTGAGTTCATTTCTGTTAACATGTGATCAAGCAGAGGGATAGCCATTGTTTTCTTGTAATAATCCTCTGTTGATTCACATGGCACATTTGATCTCTTTGTCTGCCTCCCACATGTTCTTGGTTTAGATGGGGTTACATCTAACTCATCTGCCAACTTCAATATTTCTGAATACCATTTAGCATGAAATTCACCAATATTGTCTCTAACATCCTGTAAAGCTTCCTTGACAAGGCTAACTGACTCAAGAGCACTCACAACATCAACAGCTCTACCTAAAGAAAAAAAAGTATTTGGTTAATTCTCTAAGTTGTTACTAATTAAATCAGATTTGTGAATACAGTATTTGAGTTATCTCCCTTTTTCCTGTGGTTATTGACCAAATCAATCAGCAGGTTTAATTTTGTGTATATGATTTTGAAATCTAATAACAATATGTTGCTGATGGTAACATGTTCTTTTTGTAATGTAAATAAATTGAAGAAAAAAAATTGTTTCTGTTTTTTTGCTCCTTTACAATATCAAATTAAATAAGAGTTGTTTCCCTTAGACAGTTACTGACAGTACCTTGAAGTGATGTACTAAGTTGTTTTAGGTATCCAATACATCTCATTGTCACAAGCAGGGAGACTAGAAATTGAAAGGATGTAATGTTGTTTTCTAGGCTTTGTGTGTCACTTATTGCAACCGGGCTTTTGTCCACTGATTTGATCTTTTCCATGGTTTCTATTATTGCTGGAAGGAAATCCCAAAAAATCTCAAAGGCATCAGGTCTTTCCACCCATCTTGTTCTACATAACTCCTTCAATTTCATTCTTTTTGTTTCATTTCTGTAATGTTGAAGCTGATCCTCTAGGAATGATTGCCTTTTAGGAGACCAATTAAAGAACTTGACTACCTGTCAAAGATAAAGACGTATAGGTTGATCAAAATAATCAAGCAATACATATGATACACATTTAATTACTGGTTTATGACAAAAAAATTTTTATAGTATTATCATATGAGAAATGAATAGAAATGCATTAATTGTATACCTTATCTGCAGTTCCCATCATATTCCTGACACATGGAATGTTAGCAGCAGCAACTATACATCTGTTTAGCTGGTGAGCTGTACACCAAAAGTGTAATGCCTTTGGGTATATCCTTTGAATTCTGGGACCAACTCCTTTCAAATGTCCAGTCATATTACCTGGGGAAAAAGTATATATGTGAATGTGCACACATCATTTAAAACATACAATGACAGGTGCAATGAATTAGAGAGCATGTCAAAATTGTAACAAAACTATTCTTACAGTATATTCATCATTAAACAAATTCGACTGTTTACACACTGAGGTATATTAAACGAGGTTTACCTGCGCCGTCATAACATTGGCTCCTCATCAGATTTAAATCTAGTCCCATTTCTGGAAGCAGCTTCAGTAGCTCATTGGATAGTCTCTCTCCACTTGTATCATCGCTCACTTCTATGAAGTCAACAAACTCTTCTCTAATGACACCTTTTAAAATAGAAATTTAATTCAAAATTATTTAATTATTTTTTTTCACTGTTATTGTATATCTTATACATGCACATGCATATAGTTTACATGTTAAAACAGATACTTTAATAGCAGTTGGATTAACTGCTTAAATATAGTTGCAGATAATACATGCATGTACACCTGTACATATGCCTTTTTTTTTTGTTAAGTTTGAAACAATAGATTATAAATGATTAATCAATATATATTTTTTAAATTTCTAATAAGTTGCCCAGTTTATTAGTTGATATATTAGTTATTACCTGCCAAATCAACAAAACGTAGACACACAGCTAACTGTTCAGTGTTGGATACATCTCTAGCTTCATCTGCAGATACAGAAAACATCCCTCCACTGTCTGTTATGTCTTTGATTATTTTTGACCTAATGATATTTCCTATAATGTCAATAATTTCATTTTGAACAGTCTTTGACCTGTATGTAGCATTTTTGGGGGCTGTTTTGAAATGTTCTACAAGAAATTTATCACCAGCATCTATTCTGAAGTCCAAAAGTGCTTGAAAATTTCCAATATTTGCAGTATTTCCATTTACAATGTGCTTTGCATCATCTCTGTGGCCTCGAAGAGCAAAGTTCTGTCTTCCACAAATAAGGACGGTCTTTACAATTGATTCCAAAACCATCAAATTTTTCTCCTTGCGGCTCTCTAAACCATGATTCATGGTCATGTGTACATTAGTCTGTTGATTGACCTGCTGAACAAACATTTCACCTTTTGTTACACACTGCATGTGTCTCTGATAACCTGTACCACCTCGTTTTAAACTTTTGGTACTTTTCCCCCAAAAATGTTCATCAAATACTTCCAATGCCTTTTTCCAGTTTTTGAAAGGGGCATTGACAAGTTTGCCTCTTTTTTCAGGTTCCTTCTCAAATAAAACACAATGAAGACAGTATGCTCCATCCTCCTCTATGCTATAAACTAAGCCTGGATACTTGGAGATCCATTCTCTCCGAAAGCATCTGTTTTTATCAGCTATTTTTGTAGAAGGGAACTTGAAAGTATAAGGAATTGACACACCTTTTGTGTAGATTGTGTATTTCTCATCATCATTTAAAGTTCTACCAAACCAAGAAGTTATATCATTTGGAGTTTGACCCTGGGACCTGGTGTGGGACTCTGATTGTTCAACTGCTTTTTGACTGAAAGAAAATTTGAAAATATTTTCCACACATGAATAAATATATTATTACAGTTTATTATATGATCTTGACAAGTAATTTATATAAAATAAATTGACTATCAATTTTTCTGCAATTATATTTTTTTTATTCCGTGTATCCTTCATTTTTTTAATCAGTATTGTATGACCTAATTATGTTATCTTCCACAGTTATTCTTTATACTTTTGCACCTTATTATTCTGTACAATTATTTTTTTTCACACATTTTTCATATATTTTTTTTTTCATTTTTCTATATCTCTTAGTCTATTCTGTTAACCCCATCAAGACCCTCAATGATACGGTGAATTTCGATTTAACAAATTATTTTGTACGTTGTTTCGTTCTCTAAAAGGGTAAAAAATGAAAACGAAATGATTACAAGAGAAAGTGAAAATATTCATTTACCTATCATTTACGGCTGATTCTGCATTTGTAAAGTCTTCATTTCTTGTGGTTCGAGTTTCATCACTTTTCTGTCGTTTCGAGGAACTCCCAAAAAAACTCTGGATGGATATCTGTCTCTTCATAATTCAGTTGTTGATCATTTTTCTCATTAATTTTTAATTGCAATATTTGTTTTAACATCGCCATATCTATATATCAACACACAACACGTGTTTATAGACACTAAACATCTATTTTTACTTATTTTATGAAAGAACTATTTTGATTTGTCATTTCTTTTTCGAACAGAAGATTTCACCAATCGGCACGTAGTTTATATAAAAGCTTTTGGTAATAGACATTACACATAACTGTCAATATTTACATGCTGCTGATCGATAAATTGTAAAGGGGTAATAAATCACACATGTTGAAACTAAAGCCAATTAACCGACTCGTAAGGAAGTCAAATCAAGCTGTGAGGTAATTTAACATTTCCACACATCTGGCATCTCTAGATAATCGGATTGTGTCGCAAGAAAATTGTGTGATAAAAAAAAATTTTCGTGACCACAACTGGGGGGGGGGGGGGGGCACGTGACCACAACTGGGGGGGGGGGGGGGGGGGGGCACGTGCCCCCTGTGCCCCCCGGTAAATCCGCCACTGAACTCAATCAAAAGACATGTTAACAAAAACAAGTGAACAAACACCATAGACAAAAGACAAAAACCATAAAGAATAACTGTTTAAACAACAACCAACACTACACTATACATAAAAGAAAATAAGTGTTATTTTGCCACATTGTGTAGATTATTCAGCTTGTTGAACTTATAAGTTTTTTTTGTAAAAATCTAACAATAACAATCCTTACCCAGAACAGAAGTATGTTTTGAAGTTGTTGGCAAACTATCCGAAAACAAAGTCAGTAATACAGCTAAGGCTAGAAGTACTGTCAAAATATATCCAACCTTCTCTCCTGACTCCACTGGTAGCATAAACGTAACTGAGGTTAGTACAGCTGTGACGATAACAGGAAATATGACACTCATTAGATAATAACCCGGAAGTCGTTGCACGTGTAACGAAAACAACAATTCAGAGTAGGCCAAGTCATCTTCAATTATTTCGCTCTGGTGCTGGTCGGTAAAGAGTAAGTCCCATTCGCCATTTGTCCTGTAGTTATGTAGGTTGACATGGGTTTTCCAAAATGATAGATTTACAGCCGTTGATGGAAAACCCCAGCTGACTAGTTCTACTTCGCACGTCTGGATATCATATGGGAAAAACGTGACATCCATGTCACATGACGTTGACAAAATGGCAGGTGGTTCCCATCGTACTTCTCCGTCATACTGTATTCTCAACTGAATGTCGTCTTGACCAAGATTTGTTAAACCAGTTACTCTGAAGAAATTAAAAATCATTTAAGATTATGTTTATTTTTTAATAGAAATTAATATAAAAGTAATAATGTCTGTAACACGAGAGATCAACACTCATAAGAATAGGAAAGGCAAAGTAATGAAAACGTTTAAAAATAACAGATGGAAAAATGGGGATTTTTGATGTTTGAGGTAGTCAAACTGAAACCAAACGACTTATCAATTTACGTTAACATTTCTCCACGAACAGATTAATTATCTGACCAACCTTACTTATATATGTAAAATTAATTAAACGTGCATTGTTTTGTCGAAAAAAAGTGAAATGCAATATATTGATTGATTGATGGTTGCTTAACGTCCATTGGCAAATATTGCAGGCATGTTCAGGAGAACAAATTAATAATAAATACAATAGGTAGGTCTTGTGATACAGACCGTCTGGTATGAAGGTCGGGGAAATTTTGACTGCCACTGGAAAATGAGGGTATATTGGATAGGGACAGACATTTTTCCTTGCAACAGGCCACCTGCAGACCAATCAACGAGTTGTTACAAGGGTTCTGAACGTGCAGAGAGCGTAGCACTATCTACACGAGGCATCGGCATAAACGTCCCCATTCTGACCGGACGTGGCTGCGTACTTGTACATGTACATAACGCACAGCCAAATTGACACCCCTCTTTGAATCTACTTTGGCAAGGGTTTTACTGCCGGTCGGAAGAAGACCTGTATTGACCATATTTCTATTCCCCAGTCACCCTTGGGAGTAAGTGCATAAGACCTATTAAATGCAGATCAAAGTACAAAGAAGAGACATACGTTGGGAATGCACTGATTCTGTTTTTGAATTATATTACAAATCATGTTATAAATTTTACCAATGTGCGGGCGGATCTGTGCTACGTGCTGCTAATTTCAACAAGTACCATTAATGGTAGCTAATTTATTATGACGCACGTACTCAATAAATCTGCTTCATTCGCAATATTATCGTTGCTGTGTAATCATGGGTTTTACCTACACACACATACAGGTCAATATTCCTAATGCATCTCAAATTGAGGAACTGAGTAGTGCGTTAACAAAAAATTTATGTGCAGTGATATTGGACATGTTTCAATTTTAACAAGTGACTGAGCTTAACCATTTGTGCTGTTTTGGAGAACATAGGACCATAGAATAAAGTTGTAAAAACTATAGAGATAATAAATAATGCAATGAACTTAACTCAAAGAACTTATTGTGTGAAAAAGGGATTCTAAACCTCGAAAAGCCGCATCACAAAAGGTTTTCGGGGATTGCTAAATTACGGGAAAATGAATCTCACTTCTTTCCACGAAAATCTAACCACATATCTGAAAATGTCTCAGCTTCGAAACGAGCCATCATACAGAACATATCCAAGTTTACGATATTGACAGAATAATGGAGGAAAAGGCAACCATTACCTCCTACCTCAAATGTGTTTCGCATCTTTACGAGAAACAAATATATTTATCTGTTTGCTCATGCGTTACAAACTGTCTCCAATGCTAGATCTGCCAGTAACTTATGTACTCAATTTCTTGAAGTTATTTAAAGAGGTTATAATGTAATCTTTTCAAAAAGATATTCAAATATCAATAAAGGTTCCTGGATATGTTTTATGTTTTACAGGCAACATTTCAAATTTGTTCGATTAGTATATGTCTCAACTCACTAGCGACATGTTTTTACAGTTCTAGAACTTTAGCTACAAGAGGTAAAGAAAAACTTAAAAGAAATAAATTCACCACAAAAAAAGACTAAAATACAGCCAAACCTAGTATATCGATGATCCTTAATTATAAGCCAAACGTTAACACTTTGTCACAAATGTATGCTTAATAACTATTGCTAATTTGATGCTAGATAAAAGGACTGAACAAACTACTGAATAATTTTTGTTGCAGACTACGAATTAACCAGTGAAATATCGCCTCGCTGCTTACGATAATAGTATAAAACATTTTGAATCCAAACTCGGTTTTAACTTACGAGATAATAAATGACCATAACAAGTATCCAATATAGTGAAATATAACCCAGTAAAGGATCTCATGGTTATGAAAGATGGAACCCCTTTGTTTATATCTAAATAAGATGATTATAGTATCAAAAATATAAGAAAAACATGATTACGAGTTCTCCACGATCAATTCGGGATGCCATAATTTGTTTTGCGATGCGTAAATATGTTCTATGTTTCCATAAGAAGATTTTGTCCATGCCAGTCTGCTATCATTCCAAACCTGAAATCAGATGTATAACATTTACCGCTAATGATTTAATACAGAATTTGTGTTTATTTGTTAAACGTTTTGTCATATTAAGATCGATATCATCAGCATGATCAGGAGATGGTTTTATAAAATCGTCATAGCTTTTAGATAATATTGATAATTTTGCAAGAAGAACGGATATTTTACGTTTTTTTTCATTATTGACTATTTCACGTATTTCAACAGAAAATTGTTTCATTCAATTTGCCCGTTGTTTTTTCTTATCAATTAGATTACTTTCATTTGTTTAAATCCATATCTTTACATTCAAACGTATATGTATAAACAAGTTGCTCTTTTTGAAAAAAGAAAAGAAATATGCGAACCCGAGACAGCTGACAGGTCACCGAAAGATTGTTGCTGAATTTGTTTGGCTTTAGATTTGAAATAATTGACTGAATAGAATAAAGTTCTGATGATGTTAAAACGCCTTTATTGAAAATACGTAATTGTGTGTAGATTCTTACACAAGTCAATTAAAAGCGATGTTGTATTTTAGTTTTAAATGGAAAAGTGTATACAGCTACTATATAAATTAACCTTTTAAGGCTTGACTATTTCATTTATTACTTGGGAGTGTACATCAGTTTTTCTTCGTGTCTAATATATATACAAAGTCCTAATCCTATTGCAATTCTTGGTTTCTGCAAACCAAAAGCAAATTGCACAGACCAAATGCGATATAAATTTAAGCACTCAATTTGCTAAATTAACCTGGATGCATTTATTTCATCTGTCATATCTTCATATTTTGTTTCCTTGATGGTTTATT